TTTAGTATGCCATGATTGGGGGCGTGTCCTCCTCAGGGTGCATGTTTGGAGTGTTCAAGGCAGAGATGAGGGTAGTGTTATATGTGGAGATGGCCAGTGAGGAACAGGAGAGGGAAGGGATGGATAGCGGTTGTGAATCAATCTCAGCTGACAGCTGCTGGAGGTCAGTAGAATTAAGGTTCCTCCTGAGTTGAGGGGGGTTAGGTTGAGGTTGTTGGGTGAGGCGTTACTTGAGAGCAAACAATAAGAGGTGGTGATCAGAGAGAGGAAATGGAGTGTTGCACATATTAGATACTGTATATTCATAAGAGAAAATGAGGTTAAAGGTATTGCCAGCTACGTGGGTGGGAGAATTAGCCCACTGTGACAGCCTGAGGGAGGAAGTAATTGAAAGTAGTTTATGTCAGGATTACTATATGATCCAGCACGTAAATTGTGTTACACAGATGACTAATAGGTAACGTATTACTGGGCCTTACAATGGCCGGACTAACGTACCAAAGAATAGTCAGGGTGCTAGCCGTGGTCAGGGGACAAGATAGAGACACAATGATAAAGGAAAGCCAGAGGTCAGGGATACCAAAAATATAGGGAAGTCAAAGTCAAAAACCAGAAGAAACTTAAATCAGGAACGCGCTCTCGGACAACCACTAGGGAAACTACGACAGGGCAATGAGGAAAGGTAATTGTAGGTTTATATACCTGCTTTATCTTTCTGATTGGGCGGGCAGGACCTGGCTTAAGAGGAAATTTAGAATGAAAATAGCGAATCTTGCGGCCAGCATGTATCTCAGAGGCTGGGACCCAAAAACGGTCGGCTGGTCCATAACCTTTCCAATCCAGTAAGTACTGCAAAGTGCCCAGAGAAAACCTGGAATCTATTATGGAGGAGACCTCATGCTCCTCCTGTCCAGACACAACCAAGGGAGGAGGAGGGACACTTGGGACAGTATATTTATTGCAAACAAGAGGTTTGAGCAAAGAGACATGAAAAGTGTTAGGAATTTACAAGGAGTCAGGGAGAACCAGGGAATAAGTGACAGGATTAATCCTACGAAGGATACAAAACGGGCCAAGGAACCTAGGAGCAAACTTCATGCTAGGGACTTTAAGCTTGATGTTGCGTGATGATAACCAAACCCTCTCACCCACTTGGTAAACAGGGTTAGCACCTCGCCGTTTATCAGCATAATGTTTGAAACGGTCTGCAGCAGTCCCTAGGGCGGAGTGAACTTTTACCCAGGTATCACAAATAGAAGCAAGACAGTCATCCAAAGCAGGAATAGCCGTGTCAGAAAAAACAGCCGGGAGGACAGTAGGATGCCGGCCATTATTAACAAAAAACGGGCTGTGTCCAGAGGAGTCATGATCAGCATTGTTACTAGCAAACTCGGCCCATGGTAGTAATTCGGACCAATTGTTTTAAGTGCTATTAACGAAACAACGCAAATATAATTCCAAAGACTGGTTAGCCCTCTCAGCTGTACCAGTCTGGGGGTGGTAAGAGGACGAAAAAGATAATTCAATCCCTAATTGCTTATTGAAAGCATCCAAAACCGGGATACAAACTGAGAACCTCTATCAGACAAAATATTGTGAGGAAAGCCATGCAAACGGACAATCTCATGTATAAAGATCAGCACCATGTCTTGTGATGACGGCAATTGTTTGAGTGGAATGAAATGAGCCATTTTAGAAAAACGGTCAACAACCATGAGAATAGTGGTATAAACATTAGAACTAGGAAGTTCGACCATGAAATCCATGGACAAGTGGCACAAAGGAACCTCAGGGACGGGAAGAGGTTGCAACAAGCCACAAGGGAGTTTATGAGGTATCTTAGAAACCGCACAAACAGAACAGGCTTGCACATACTCTTTAACATCTCTCCTAAGGGAATCTCACCAAAATGATCCCATGATCATGGATATGGATTTATTAATTCCAGGGTGTCCAGCAGTCAAGTTGTTATGGAACACTTTTATGACATTTACCCTTTCACCAAATGGAACAAACAATTTGTCTTGTGGTTTATTGCAGGGCGTCTGACACTGAGCCTCCATGATGGTGCCAAGCAGTGGAGAAGACCAGGAAAGGACAGTGGAAGCAATGATATATTCAGGAAGAATAATAGGGGATGTTTCTTGTTCTTGTATAGCGTCTGTATCAAACTGTCTAGATAAGGCGTCAGCCTTAACATTTTTAGAACCAGGTCTATATGTTATAAGAAAATTAAAGTGAGAAAGTAACAGTGACCAACTAGCTTGTCTAGAAGATAATTGCTTAGCATCTTCTATGTATGCCAGGTTCTTATGATCTGTAAAGTTCAAAAGGGAACCCTCCAAAAGATGTTGCCACTCCTTGAGAGCTAGAAAGAGAGGGAAGGGGGGGGGGAGTAGAGGTTTGAAGGAGCAGTGATGTAAGAGAAGAAACCCTACACCACCACCTTTACATTCAGAGTGTCTTGGGTTGTAGGTAAGTTGAAGACGACCAAATGATAGAGGCAGGGGTAACAGTGTCAGAGGGGGAGAGCCATGTTTCTATAATATTGCAAACAGAGCATGCATTCCAGAGGGCAGTATTAAAGGAGGATTTTGAGGAAGAGTAACATGAGATGGGTATGAGATTGCTGTGGTTAGTATGTGGTGGGTTTGCTGAGATGAGACCGGGGTTTGGAGAGACATCACCACCTGCTAGGAGCAGAAGGATAGAAAGGTGAAAGTTTTGTAGGAGGGTATGTATATAGAGGAGTTGGAGGAGATAGGCTGGAAAGGTATATGTAGAGAATAGAGAGGGGAGGGGAGTAAAGTGGAAGTAATGAAGATGGTGTTGCCAGGGACAGGTGAGCAGAATCCTAGGGATATTTTAGTAACGAGAGAAGTTAGAGTGAAAGTGAAAAATAGAAGGGAGAACATTATTTAGAGTAAATGTGTTTTGTTATATAGATATGAAAATTATACATATGCATATAATCATTGACATATAAATGCACAAACATATACGAATTTTTAAACCATGATAAAGGATGCAGTTTGTTAACAGGGATTTCAGGTAAGGAGTAGTTTAGTGACTTGATTGATGTGTTTTGAAAATCAGCTGCTCTGCACTATCTCTAAGATCATAATGACCATGGGGTGGGGTGGTGAGGAGAGGGTGGATAGGCTTTTCTGCAGGGCTTGGTTGCTTGTGACTACTGGGTGTTGCTAATAAATGACATTAGGGGCCCAGTCTGAAATATAAGGTCTGGGGTTAGAATAATAAAAGAGAATAGTCAGAATACTTGCTGAGGTCAGGAACACAGAAAGGGACACAACAATGAGGGAAAGCCAGAAGTCAAGGATACCAGAATACATACCAAGCCAAAGTCAATAACCATAAACAAGCTATCAGGAACGCACTCTCTAACAACCACTAAAGGAAATCACGACAGGGCAATGAGCTGAAGAATCAGATGAGCTTAAATACCCCTCCTGTGGATCCGATTGGCCATAACCGATCTTTGACCACAGAACGTGCGTGCGCGTCCTTTGATGTCACGCACAGGTGAGGTTGTCCATGCCATGGGCAGACGTGGCGCTACTTATTGATGTAGATCCGCAGCGGCTGGCGTCCATTAACATGCTGCAGGGGTCAGACATATCAATGCATGGCCGCTGAACGGCACTTGTTGGCAAGGCAATCGTTATTGATGTCGCAAGGTGAGAATGAATGTTACATTACCCCCCACCTGAAGACCACCCACCAAGCGGAAGGGCCAGGCTTGAGAGAAAATTTGGCGTTAAAAAAGCGTACCTTGAGGCTAGCATTATTGTTTGAAGCAGGAATCCAAGAACGCTCAGCAGGCCCATACCCCCTCCAATCTACCAAATTCTGCAATGAACCAAAAGAAAATCTGGTATCGATTATAGAACAGATCTCATACTCCTCCTGTCCAGAAAGAACCACCAGAGGAGGGGGAATACTTTGGGTAGTATATCTATTGCAAATAAGTCGTTTGAGCAAGGACACATGAAAGGTGTTGGGAATACGTAAAGAGGCAGGAAGTGCCAGAGAATAGGAAACAAGATTAATCTTCCTAATGATACGGAAGGGACCAAGAAATCTGGGAGCAAACTTCATACTAGGAACTTTTTTTTTTTTTTATTCTTTATTTTTGCAGTGCAGGTTTATGTAGACAATTTTAGGTAAACATTGTAAAGGATAAAACAAGATAAAGCCATGGTGTAGCATACAATATCAGGAAAAAGAAAATGCACTGTTTTTTATATTTATACATGACATGGTGGATCAGTATGTGTCAAACGTAATATTTTTTCAGATGAGCTAGTTACAACATTTTAACGATTAATTATACGATGTCCACCAGCATTATTAATCCTAAGATTTAGTCGGGCTAAGTAGCTGGTGGAGTGTAAAAGTTAAATAAGACAAACAATATGCATGCTGCTTAGGTCAGGATATAGTTACATGCTAGTTGCATTAGCAAAAGTTACGGTTACTAACGCTGTATTAGTTGACCAGATTGGCCACAATGAAAACGTGCTTGTTTCTTAGTTTAACATAAAATACCATTGCTTTAAGGATCAGAAAATTAGTGAGGGTGACTGTCATATGTTTAGTAGCTTACGATGCCGTACATCGGTAGGGGTCAAGGTGTGAGAACCCTCATTGCGGCACCAGTTATAGAAGGGCAACATAGGGAGGATTAACATAGGCTAAATGGTCGGCCAGCAGTGTTCATTTAATGCACTTAATCTCTGCATTGGACAGCCATAGTTACGTGGTGTAGGAAGTCCGTGTGTCGGCGGCTGTGAATGTGCCCTCCAGGTGCGCTTATGGCGTGTGCACCTGAGGCAGTTCCTTCAGCCAATGCCCAGCGCATGGACGTGTCTCCTGTTGTCAGTGTTGGTCTCCCAAAAAGTGTTCCGGCACTGGGGCTCTGCTCCGGCGGTATCTAGCAGAGTGTTCAACTGTGCAGCTCCCCGGTTTGCAGCTGTGACTTGGAGAGGTGAAGGTGAGCCCCGCTGAGCTGGTGAGTAGCTTGTGTGGGAGGTTGGCTTAGCAGTCTTGTTCTCTTGAGTGTGGGGGCCATTGTAATATGGCATAGTTTCCCGCCCTTGAGCTCGACGGTGTTTGTAGGGTCTAGTTGTCTTTCTGGGTGTTTGTAGTGGATGCCTGTAATGGCGCCGCCTGGTTGCTGGACGGATCCACGTGGCCACTAGTTTCACTGCCCAGCAGTAAGCCATTCCACGCTCACTCAGCATAGACCAGAGTCTCACACAGAGTTGGTCGAAGTCCCCCAGGGGGTCCGTGGTTGGTTGTGCTTGTGTGCTTTGTTTTTGGGGCATTCGCTTGGCGGCCATCTTTGCTGCTTCTCAGTGACCCGATGATTGCTGGTGCAGTGCCTCATACTAGGAACTTTTAATTTAACATTACGTGATGATAACCACACCCTCTCACCCACTTGGTAAACAGGGTTGGCATCCGGCCGTTTATCAGCATAAAATTTAAACCGATCAGCCGCAGTTTTGAGAACGGAGTGAACCATGGTCCAAGTACCACGAATAGAATTAAGGTGATCATCCAAAGTAGGAATAGCCGTGCTGGAAAAGACAGCCAGAAGAACAGTAGGATGACGACCATAATTTACAAAAAAAAGGCTATGTCCTGAACAGTCATGATTAGCATTGTTCCTAGCAAACTCTGCCCAGAGTGCTATTAGGAAAACAACAGAAATACACTTTTATTTACTGATTAGCCCTCTCAGCCGTGCCATTGGTTTGGGGATGGTAAGATTAAGAAAATGACAATTCAATGCACAACTGTTTATTGGAAGCCCTCCAAAACTGAGAACCTCTGTCAGAAACAATATTGTGAGGAATGCCATGCAGTCGGACCATTTCACGTGCAAAAATAAGAACCAGGTCTTGAGAGGAAGGCAGTTTAATGAGTGGAACAAAATGAGTCATTTTAGATAAACGGTCAACCACCATAAGAATGGTGGTATAGTCATTAGAACTAGGAAGTTCCACGATTAAATCCATGGACAAATGGGACCATGGAACACTAGGTACGGGAAGTAGCTGTAACAACACACAAGGAAGCTTATGAGGGACCTTGGAAACTGCACAAACAGAACAGGCCTGCACATATTCCTTAACATCACTCCTGAGAGAATACCACCAAAATGTTCTCATGATTGCGGATACGTATTTATTGATGCCCGGATGTCGAGCAGTCACGTTGTTGTGGAATACCCTCATGATATTTTCTTTCACCCAATGGAACAAATAATTTATCTGGTGGTTTATTGCATGGTTTCTGAGACTGAGCCTCCATTATAGCACCAAGCAAAGAAGACAGTGAAAGAACAATGGAAGTGATGATACACTCAGGTGGCACAATAGGGGATGTCTTGTGTTCCTGTATAGATTCAGTATCAAACTGTCTAGATAAGGCATCTGCCTTCACATTCTTGGGACCAGGTCTGTAAGTTATAAGAAAGTTAAAGCGAGACAGGAATAAAGACCATCTAGCCTGTCTAGAAGACAGTCGTTTAGCATCCCCTATATAAGCCAAATTCTTATGGTCAGTGATGATAAAAAGGGGATCCTTGGAACCTTCTAAAATATATTGCCACTCTTTAAGCGCTTGGATAATGGCCAACAATTCTCTGTTGCCAATATCATAATTGCGTTCAGTGGGAACCAGCTTTCTATCAAAGTACCCACATCAATGCAAAGGGGTATCCTGAATCTGGCTTTGAGAAAGAACAGCCCTTACCCAGTTTTGGAGGCATCAACTTCCAGTATGAAGGGTTACTCTTGTCAGGATGTAGTAATATGTCGGCAGAAGCAAGAAGTTCAGAGCCTTTTTGTTACACATGACCATAACATCAAGGAGAAACCTACTTTGGTTATTTCCAGAGGATGTATCCATCACACCTAAGAACTGTCCTCTTAAGGTTCTTACGTGCGGAGGTTTTTCGGACGTATTGGACAAATACTCCTCATATCTCCTTTTTTACCACAGTATAGGCATAGACCCTCTCTTCTCCTATATTGTTTTTCTGCCTCAGACAGTCTAGTGACCCCTAACTGCATGGGTTCGGACTGTACAGGGAGGCCTGGAACAATAGGTCTGGAGAATTGAGGTGCTAATGGCATAGCCATACGTCTGGTTTTATTTCTAAATTCTGAGTCTATTATCAATTAGCATAACAAATGTGATAAACTCAATTAATTTTTTGGGTAGTTCTTTGGCAGCAATCTCAACTAGAATTTCCTCGGATAATCCTTTTTTAAATGCAGAGATTAGTCCAGTCTACCTCAGAAGCCGAGGTGTGAAATTCTATGGCATAATCTGAGATAGACCAGTTCCCTTATTTTATATGCATTAGGGCAGTGGAGGCGTCATCCTCCCTGCCTAATGGTTCGAATGTTAATTCGAATTCTGCAAGGAATTCCTGGTAATTGTGTGCAATACTCCTATTACTCTCCAATAATGGATTGGCCCAAGCTAAGGCTTTACCTTTAAGTTGGTTCATTAGGTAACCAATCTTAGCTCTTTCTGAGGGAAAAGATCCCGGTGAGGCCTCAAATGGTATTCAATTTGATTCAAGAATCCCTGGCATTCTTGAATCTTAACAAAATGGAGAGACTCTCAGTGCTGGATCCACAGAGCCAGCACTAAAAGCACAAACTGGAGTATAAAGAATATATCTATATATATATAAGAGTGAATATAAATAATAAATAATCCTGTTGTTTGTCTATAAAGTCATCCCAATACAAAACAGTGTTACTAGCCTAATAGGCTAAACCTCTCTGATCCAACAGATGTGACTATAATACTCATCAGACTTTCGACTTTAATATAATTAATCTAGTCACAGTCTGTGACTATATGTAGTCAACCATCGACAAAAATTGAGTATAAAAAAATTATAATAATAATAAAGTCACACTGATGGATCCTAATTCCTAAAGAAAAAAATGTTTATCCACTTAATAAAGTTAGACTGCTAACATTGATACATGGGTGAACTATACCGTAAAAACAATGTAGCTATTCATATGAGACATAAAGTAGCCAATGTATCTGGTAATACTAGATGAATACTCAATATAAACGTGGACAGGAAGTTCACAGAAATAATAAAATGAAGAGACTCAAACTAGTAAACTAATAGCTCAAGGAGTGGGCAATATAGGGACTAATAATTATAAGCTCTAATGCCAGAAATGTCAATAGCCCCTCCAAAAACTACCAGATATAATTAGGAAGTAGGAATGACAGAGAGGTTAGAAAAAGTTATAGTGCAGAACCATACTTAGAATGTTGGTTGCCTGCACATAGTGGAAAGTGCCCAGTGCTAAAGTGAGTGAAAAAAAGAACAGAAAAACCCGACGCGCGTTTCGGTGCTTGGAATGTGCACCTTCGTCAGGGGCCAGAATTGGAATGACTGCTTAGTCTCTGACTTATATATCAGACTACGGTATACCCGATAGCCAATTGAAGATCGGAGTTTGGCTGTCAAAATTTGCGCCAAAATCCACAACTTTCGGTAATATTCATGAGGCAATTTGAACTCCCCAATCAGATTCATTGTGGGGCGGAGTTTGACTTTCAATCCGAAAGTTAACTCTCTACACTCCTTATTATAAAATGCTGATTATATCCAGCTAAGTGCATCAACGTGAATAGGAGGCTTATGTGTTCTGTCCAATGACAGAGAGTTCATAATGTGCCGAGATTCAGTGACTTAGCACATAAACGTTATCAAAATTATATCGATCTCAATATTATCCTGTCAGTATGATATATATTTGCACGGAGGAGATCAAAAACCATATCCTCCAATTTTTACCATGTACATAGCCTATTAAAAGATAATTGTGATTTTCAGCAGTATACATTTTTAGTGACTGGACTAAATACTTCTATTACATCCTGCCACTCTTTTCCATAGTTAATAAAATCTGGTAAAAAGTTAATATGCGAGGGAAAGCATTAGGCTTTTCCACCGTTTTACCATATATATAATCTTATTAAGAGATTAGATATACTAGAAGATTGTAATAACTTACAAAAAGGTGTACTTAATGATGAACTAGACGAATATATTAGCTCCTATCTCTCATTTACATATAAAGAAAAGTGAAATCATATAGCCGAACCTAGATAGCTGTACTGGTGATCCCGGTCCTAATTGGTCGGCTGCTATATTATTAAATGCATATACACAAAACCTTATACAGAGCGAAACCTTTTCACGGATAAAAGAACAGCTCCCAATCTGTTAAGGCATATCGCTTGATAATAGAAAGCCCACCTATATTAACATATCCATAGCCGAGGCAAGATGTAGTATCGATAGTATCATGAGGAAAAGAATGCTAGCACTAAGAATGGAATATTAATAGTTGCAACAGATGGTCATAGGTGGAAAGAAAATCACTTTTAAGCATAAAAATAGCTATGTACCAGAGATCGTAATATCAGCTCCATATTGGTTAATAACTAGATGATCGCAAGATGCTTTAGTAATGCTGGTTATACAAAAAACGAAATAAGAAGTGTACCAAATAAAGAGACAAGTATGCAAGTCAGTGATTATAAACTAAAAAATAAATATAATCATAAATAGAGAAAAAAAAGAGACAAACAAAATATTTCATTAAAAAGAAAAAACATAATAATAATAATAAGAAATCTAGATGTTTCAAACTATACAACATCCTAATTAAGGTCTGATTATACTATCTAGTTAGATATGAAGGATGTATAAGAAAATCCCTCATTGAGGCCCAAAGGGAATAAGGTTTTGAATTTATAGATCCAATAACTCTCCCTTTGTAAAAGCAATCTGTCAATATCTTTGGTATTATTTGATTTTAATTTAATATTTGATATTAAATGAAAGCCCTGTTTCCCCTGAATAAAATGATATATAATAAGGGTGGGTGCATTTACTATGAAAGAGGTGAATTACGGTTGGACAGACATGTAGCGCAAATGCCAGGTTTTGTTTACATTTTGTTTTGTTCACAACGTGTACATTTGGCTCCGTCCTTAAGGGGTTAAATCCAGAAGATGTCTGAGTTTTAAGTTTTTCTCCTCTGTGTTTTACTAGATATTCGTAGATAAAACACTTAATTCTCAAGTAACTGAAATTTTCATTCTCAGTTGAATGTT